AGACATCAAGGAAAAAAGGACCCTGTTAAGATAAGTTTCAGAAAAGTGCAAAAACATAAAAAGAAAGTGAATAGTAAGTAGTTCTTAGTTAAGCACTATCAACATAAAACCAAACCAAGCTTGTGCTGCCATCCGACGATTAAAAATGATCTTCATAGAAGTGGACTTGAAAGTCACAATAGATTTCAAAGCGTTTAATTAATACAATACCATGAGAAAATTGACTGAACTTATAAGTCTCGCTAGTAAATAAAGGGTTAACAAAGTGGAGAATTGGGATAGTTGTCTGTTTATGGAATTCTCCTTGGATTTATAAATAGGTGGAGGCAGTGCAAGGAATGAGCTTCTTTTCTATTTTTGTGAGTTTTTGTGAATTTTACTCTTGTTGAGAAATGCTACTGGCTGATCGATCGGACAACGTAACCGGTTATGCTTATTCCTGGTGACGGACGAGTCGCGGGAAAGTTGAACATAAATTGCTCCTAATTTTTTGACGTGCAGTATTTGATTTCGAAACAATTTCCGAGAGAGAAAGAAGGAAAGTGACGGCTGTATTCTTGGCCTCTTTGACAAATTGCAGTTGTGTAGATTTCTCAAGGTATCTAGTTGTAAACGCGTAAACATTGTTAATGGGGACAGTTGTGTGTTTTATTAATTATACTAGTTACAGTAACTTTCACCTGTTTGAAATGGCAGCACGTGAAAATTATTTCCTTGTTTCAATGCAACGAACATCGAACTATTGAATTTCTATAATTGTACCTCTACGATTATTTTTAGAATATTTTCAGAACTAAATGTAATGGAAATTTCGATCGAAAAACGTATCGATAGGTAGCTCGAAACGAGTAATATTAAATTCTTAATGAAAGATTCTTAAAATAACTTGCGATGGTAGTTGGAGCTGTAACTCGAGATTGAAGATGCACGTTTCCAGTCAATAAATTCCATCGAATATTAAAGTAGATAGCGAGCCCGGTACGCGAGGTTCTATGGGTCGTAGAAAAATATACTGGCCAGTCGAGATCACTGTAAAGCTAACTATCGAAAATGTGATACTGGTGATTTTAGCGGATGGTGAGCAAACTAGTGGCGCCACAGGAAAGCAGCACCGCATCGGCGCCACTGGAGGCACCACTAGTCAAGCGGCACTGGTGAGCCCGGTGTGCAGGTTTCTATGGGTCGTAGAAAAATATACTGCCCACTCCAAACCATTCCAAAGCTAACTATCGAAAATGTAATACTGGTGTGGTGTAGGTTTCAGCGGATGGCAATCGAACTAGTGGTGCCACAGGAAAGCAGCGCCGCATCGACGCCACTGAAGGTGCCACTAGTCAAGTGACACTAGTGAGCCCGGTACGCAAGGTTCTATGGGTCGTAGAAAAATATACTGCCCACTCGAGACCATTGAAAAGCTAATTATCCAAAATGTAATACTGATTTCAGCGCATAGCGAGCAAACTATTGGTGACACTGGAGGCGCCACTAGTCAAGCGCCACTAGTGGCGTCACAAAACTGTCGCCTTCTAAATTTGTCTAGTACTTTCGCTCCTTGAAATATCGCCCAAATCGTGCAAGTTCTACACATGTATCACCTATCTCGGTTCAATAACAGAGTGTCACTTCTGCACAATCCGGCTTATCTTATCGCCTCGGCATGTCTCGTTAGCGAAGTCTAATCGACAGATGTCTGCGTTGCTCTACACCACACAGTCACTAGAGTCTCAGCGCCACCTCGAGAGTACTCTTCTATACCATTCATTTCAACATATTTAACTCTCATAATTTTTCTTCCACGTTCCATTTTCTTTCCACTTCTCCCTGGACCTCGGTGTCCTAAAAATTTGTCGAGCCGCCTGAATCTCGTACGGTAGTCCACATCGCGGCTCGCGCGGCACGGTCGGAATTTCTTGGTTACATCACCGGTGCTTTTTGCGCGGCTCTAGCGCGGTATGCGCGTACAAGTCGACCGCTCGTCGTCCTACAACACCGCTGGACAAAGTTGTGGCCGGTATCAATTGGCCGTGCTCTCCTCGGCGTGTATACCGGTCGACCTTCTGCAGTTGCAACACGAGACCTGACACAGATAGGAGAGCCACAGTCGGTCCGTCAGGCCAGGCAATGCCTGTGCGCACGCCTTGCGAAACCGACGACCGTACGCTTCATCGGGGAACCCTGTGAACTAACACGGGCTCAACGCGAATTGGGTGCGTCGGGATGACCTCGCAGAGGAAACTAGAAACATGGAGCATTATCTGGGATGAACCTGACTATTAGATATGCATCAGTCTAGAGTGAGACCTCTCATTTTATGGTTTACATGACTTCACAGAATCCAATGGCCATTCTTGATTCTTTGGACAAGACGACAGTTTCGTTACAGAATGCTGAGATTTTAAACAATTGAACCTTCTTCTACCATGATTGGAGAGTCGTGGAAGCAACGTGTATTACTACTACTTCAAAGCGTACCAGTTTATAAGTTAGGAAGCTATTTATGATCACTACGAACAGTTCAAGATTCAATGAAATCTAAGATAAACGATTGCTGCTTCTAAGTCGCGCCTCGAACGCAAAGGGTTAACCCTTAAATGCCCTGAGTTTTAAATTTTATACCGGACTTTTAAATCGAATTGTACACTTGCGATTGGTTTGTTTTTAATATTTGCCTGCACAGTTAGTATAAGAAGCACAGCAATCAATTTAAAATAAAATTAATAAGAAAAGAAATAAGAGATTAACATTAAAAATAATAAACTTCATTAATTTCTTCCTCTAAGATTTATTAATAAAATAAATATATAAGGTTCGCCCTCCCTGGCCTTTTTATGACTGTTAGCTAGCCAGGTACCAGGTTTCTCTACGATAAATGCACAGAAACCAGCCTGAGGGGTACATAAAAATAAATATTTGAGGTTTTATTTCGAATTGGTTCATGTACAAATACTTATTACGCTGTATGTTGCTACTTCATGATGTTCTTTTGAACAAAAATTGAAAAAACAAACGTCAGCTGTCAAAATTGTTCAAATAATAAATATATTGATATCTTTTTAAATTCAATTTGGAAAATCAGGCTTCTAAGGGTTAACTGTAGGATAATGAGATAAAAATGTAGGATATCATGAACCTAGTAATGCCATTTGGAATATAAAGCTTAGGAGTGAAAGATCAGACCTAGGTCAACCCACTGGGTCCTAACGCGTCACAACCAGTCAGACTTGAAATTGCCAGTGTTAGGCAGTTCAATGACCCAGCACGTCTTCAGCACATGCCAAAACGAAACATCAGAACGAAAGATCAGTTGTCCGAGGTGAATGTAGTACTGCAAGCATCACGAAGAAGTCACCGCACGCGGCGAACACTCCTTTCCAAACAGGAATATGGACACCGATACCGGGTGACATCGATGCCTGGGCGTTTCGACAAAGTTGCTTTCGGCTTTCCCGCGAAGAACATGCACGCTGGGTTACGCTATTGATCCGACATTCCCGGCGTACCTCGATCCCGTCTCCCACAGCACGTCGCCGAGCCGAGGCGTAAGTAATTTGCGTTCAGACGAACCGCAAGCTGCTGCCAGTTCTCGATCCGGGACAATAAAGTCCACGGCCGTTCCGTGGGTGTACGGACAGTCTGTCGGTGTGTTTTTCTGTGGCGCAATCGCGAAGACAATCGCGACTCCATGGAACCAGTTGGACACCCGCGTGGACGGCTGATCGCGGTATTGACAAGTCCCCCTGACTTGCGGCGTCTTAATTTTTCAATAATCGGCCGCCCGGTTTCTCAATTTGCACTAGTGGTTGATCGTTCCTGTTTCGGATGGATTCCGGTGTCTTTGTTTAGATATTTCGATGGTTGATGATGGGAACTAGGAAAGAAGACTGTCGACGAGTATGCCTGACTCGTGGCTTCTCAATTATTCAATCATTGAATGCTTGAGAACCTGGGTCACTTGGTCAGGGAAAACCAATTTACGCTAGGTCTAACGTCTTTGTTTGAACTCTTTGGTGGGTGGTGACAGATAAACAAGGACAGAATGTTTTATTTTATTTAATGATTTTATTATTTAGAATTGTTGAAGTAAGCTAACAATTTCGTATGTTTCTGAAAACTCTACAATTGATATGTGTTATATTTAGGATAACCGTTATTTTCGCGCGTCCTGGCCTTTTTATAATTGCTAGCTAGCCAGGTACAAGGTTTCTCTACGATAAATGCACAGAAACCAGCCTGGGGGGTATACCTCCTGTGAGGTCCCGAAGTTCGATCGCCGAGCAGTGTAACATGATCCGGGACGGGGTATACCCTTTGAGGGGTCCAGGATCTCAATCGCCGAGTAGTGTAAACACGATCTGGGATCGGATTACTCGGTGAGACAAATTAATGCAACGGTAAAACTGTTTTATTATTAACTTTTTTGTTTTAAAACTTTTACCATCATATTCCTGACATATTTCTGATTAAAATAGACCAAGCACGACGTAATTCGCAACATATTTACTTGTAACAACTTATTTTGTATCATTTATCGTAGAACACTAACTAAAAAAAAATGCGTGGTAAATATCATCCGAATTATATCGTGTTTGGTCTCATTTTAATCAGAAAAATGTCAGGAATATGATAGTTCAAGTTTTAGAACGAAAAAGTTAATAATAAAAAAGTTTTACCGTTGCATTAAATTGTTTCACCGACATACCACGGTGTTTTCGCTCCGTCCTCTTCTTTATTCGCTGTCCTCCACGTTCGAAGCTCGTCGGTAAACATCAGGGATTATACGAACTCTACGATAACTGCACAAGGTCATTCCCGAGCTTGTGCATTTATGGAGTCATCCGAATAGCATCTAGGATATCTTTTATACTGTATTCCACTGTATTCCAATATAATTATTTACCCTATATATGGGTACATTATTTTTACCATACTTTCTTCATCAAGAATGATTACAGTACATGTCTCCCAACATAATCTAACAGTGTATTTCTGTTTTGTTACAGGAGAACATCTCAACGCCGGAACCAGCCGACATATCGGAGGAGGATCACTACTCGAGTAAGCAAAACCTTCCACCACCCGTTTTCGTGAACCTTGTTGTTTCTCCGTTTCCGTCAGAGGGGATCGAACCTCTATCCCACTCGTATTGCCAGAATAACTTTTCGTAACCCTAAGGCCACCATTTCGCTGCGCGTAGTAAAGCTTATTTAGGAAGAAAAGGGGTAACTTTTAAAACGGCGCGTATCTTTGGTACGAATTCTATCTAAGGAATTACGGAAAATCTTGAAAAGTTTCTGAGAGTTCTCCAAGTTTAGTAAATTCTTAAAACACCTGCTTTGCCACTGTATCGTGAAACATTCGAAATCTTAAACGCATCGGAGGCTTCGAGATTCCAGAAAGTCGCATAAACTTAACAGTCCTGACAGTCTAGAAAGTTCGAACGGCCACGTAGGATTAAATCCGGGCTTCCACGTTTGACAATGGCGCCGTTATCGGCTGCGTTAGAACTCTTCAATGAGCGTTCAGTGGCATTCACACTTCGGTGAAGTTCACTCTTCTGCCTCGAGCTACTGGTCATGGACTTTGTGCCGTTTCACGAAGCCAGACAGTCGCCAGTGTCTCAACTGTGCTTTGAACATTCAAGTGTCCCATCCCAAAGGATGCTGCCTTGACTGCGTCAAACGTCACAGTGTGCATTTGGTGCTGGATCTGGTTCTTTGTATGTGGATCACTATGTATTGAAACTCTAGGTTTCCATTCCTCATTTCATATCTATTCGCAAATAATTTTAAATTGCACTTATTGGACACTTTATACCCTCTTGTTCCATGTTCTCCTTCTTCAGGTCAAAATTTTGATTGTAAATTGACTCTTTCTAAATTGTAAATTGACTTCTGACAGTGCCACCCGGATAACTGAACTAGTGACATCTCTGGTAGTCTCGTTTTCTTCATTGGACGTGTGAGTCACGATCTCAAATATTCAGAAATAATTTCAAAATTCCACTATTTGGGGACTTTCTACCTCCTTGTTTCCTTGCCTCTTGTTCTCTTCCTCTAGGTCAAAATTTACGATATTTTTCTCTTTGTAAATTGACTCCCGACAGTGACACCTCTGTCATCTATTTATTGAACGTGTGAATCATGATCTCAGTTGAAAATAAGAAGGGTCCCCAGAAACTGGTACCATCCCCAGATAGCAATACAATTGTAGCATTTTCACTTCTGCAGCTCGTCTTTCTTTCTCATCCCAGTCACAAAGTTCGGACAGGGAATACACGTCAAAACTCAACCGAACAGCTGTTGTAAGAACGTTTCCTCCCGGGTCATTTTTGTGTCTGGATCCTAATGCGATTCCACCTCGATTACAGACTGCGGAGAGCGTCGAACTCCACGGTTCCAGCCGAAGCTCACCATCGTCGGTGTTCGTTGTCCTTTGGACGGTTTCGGGTCGCCGCCGTTTCGGGAATCTGACCCAAATCCAATGGCGGCGTCGCGTTTCTGCATTATTGAACGGGCTGAATGATTTAGACGTCACGTCGTTCCCATCACCCGCCAACTTTATCCGGTTGCTAATAAATCTCTCTCCGCTTTCGTTCTGGCGCGGCTCGAGTGCTCTTCTACGTGTCACTGCTAACTCTCTCTCGCTCGAATGAATCGACGCTGCAATCGGAGGGAAATCTGGAGAGCGACGAGCTACTCAGCCGATCACCGCTGAGTTTCACGGCGGGGACCGGTGACGGGGTGGTTATCGATCATCCCTGCTGACGTATTTCGACTTACAGTCATTCTCGGTCCCGGAGGATTATTTTTAAGCGGGATTCTCGACACGCGGAATGGTTATCTTTTCGCGGTGCTAAGGGTACTCGTTGGCCTCGGGTTGAGACGGAACATTTCTGCCAGGTCGAGGTCCTCGAGGACTTTTAAAATGATGCAGGAAAGGTTAGAGAGACATATTGGTTAGCTATATAGTAACTGATATAGAATTGTGCAATGGTAGGAAGGAGATTAGTTATGTGGAAGTCCCTCAAAATTTATAGGTTAGGTCAGGTATGTTCTCAGAGGAGGTGCTAGGCCGAGGTGCTGAGGCCTTTAAAATGATATGAGGAGGACTGGAGACACATATAGCTTAAGAATCTACTGATGCAGGTTTGTGCAATGCCAGAAAGTAGATTAGTCATGTAGAAGTCCCTCAAAATTTATAGATTAGGTCAGGTATGGTCTCAGAGGAGGTTCTAAGTTGAGGTCCATAAGGATTCTCTTTCAAAATGATGCAGAAAAGATTAAAGAGACATGTGTCTTCGCTGTATATTAACCGATATAGAATTGTACAATGGCAGAAAGTAGATTCACCACGTGGAAGTCCCTCAAAATTTATAGGTTAGGTCAGGTATGCTCTCAGAGGAGGTCCTAAGTCGAGGTCCTCAAAAATCCTCTTTCAAAATCATACAGGAAAGATGAGAGAGACATATATCTTTGCTATATACTAACCGATATAGAATTTTGCAATGGCCGAAAGTAGATTCACCACGTAGAAGTCTCTCAAAATTAATAGGTTAGGTCAGGTATGCTCTCATAGGGGATCCTAAGTCGATGTCCTCAAAAATCCACTTTCAAAATAATACAGGAAAGATTAGAGAGACAGTTATCTTCGCTATATACTAACCGATATGGAATTGTGCAATGGCAGAAAGTATCTTCACCTTGTGGAAGTCTCTCAAAATTTATAGGTTAGGTCAGCTATGTTTTTAGAGGAAGTCCTAAGTCGAGGTCCTCACCAACCCACTTTCAAAATGATACAGAAAAGATTACAAACAAATATAGCTGCAGGATATACTGATACATAATTCATCACGTAGAAATCTCTCAAAATGCATAGGTTAGGTCAGCCACGTCCTCAGAGAAAACATTATGTCCTCGATAAAATACCCACTTCTAAAATGAAACAAGAAAGATTAGAGACACATATAGGTTACAAATCAGCTGTCTCCACCCCTTTGTGAGACTGTCTCCGCCCCTTTGTATTTCGTTTGGTTGTTACGACCGAGTCAGCCGTTAAATTTTCAAACGACCGAGGCTCTACTGTACCAACAGTTAGCACGACGTGTTCGAGAGAAGCTTTGATAAAAGCGACCTGGGCGCCGTCCGCGTTACGATTGACCAACGTATTTATTAACATGCACCGACACTCCAGCCTCGTAATCTCGTTACCGCGGCCTCTTACATGAAAGAGCGAGACGCACTCTTCACGCCTTGCGCGATGACGTTGCCTCGCGGTTCCGAGAATCGAGCGATTAATCAGACGAAGATCTTCGTGCCGCCATTGCGTCCTCCTTCGAGCTGATCCCGTGGCTCCTCGATCAGATGATTTCATTCTTTGTCCCTATCTCTTCGTACGACAAACTCTACGGTACATACGCGCAAACTGTGATTTTCATCTCCTAGCAACTGTACAGATAGAATTAATTGGTATCTAAGAAATTGTAACGCGAAATTATAGGTTGAAAGTGTAGGATCAGTTGGTTGGACTCTTCAAGAGCATCCTACTTGGTTGAAATAATTTGTCTTCTATATACATGCGCTGTATTACCGAGAAATTTAATTGTGAATATCTTTTCTCAATTTTGATTACACCTTGCGATTATTAAAATGAGTTAAAAGCTAGGTACACGTATCTGCCCCAAGGTGGTTAATACTGTAAAACCTTAATGATTGCAAGGAATTCACCGAGGTAACTAATCAGATCAGAAAAACTCCGGTTACACAGCACACGCGCTGTCAATCAAAATGAAGGTCTCCTTCCTCAGGATCAATTCTTCGTGCTGATTCGATTCGAAAAGTCCTTTTCCATTTCCCAATCCAAGGTCTTGTTGTCGAGATATAAACAGTTGAAGCTTGTACGCGTGCGAGCGCGTTGATAGGTGTGCCTAATGTGTGAGTGTGCGCATGCGCAGCCGCGTGATCAGCTGACTTGGGATACGAATGGCGCGCGCCAGGAAGTCGCAGCAGTAAACTTTAATTAATTATATGTAGTTACCGAAGCCACGGATTTCAAAATGGTAAAGGACTTTTCGATTCCTTTTCACACGAGGAATTGAGACAAGGTCTCAGTATAAATTCTCATATAATATCTCACATTGTATTAGGTAATTAAAATTTCGTACGGTACCTCATAGTTCATACGGTAGTTCTGGTCAAGTAAATAATCGAAATAGAGTTACCCGAGCATCTGAAATTTATATTAGGTTCAATGAGCCTGCCTGCGCCGAAATCTTTCACCAGGAAATTTCGCGCTGAACTTGTTCGTCTTCCGCTGTCGGACACGAGAGTCTTTAGTCATACGAGACGAAACGGGATCGATAATCGAGTGCGTGCACAATTGAGATGGGGTCGCAACCATTGGGCATGAGGTTTTAATTGACACTCGACGAACACACTGTCGCACTTGTGCCCCACGCTTACCGTGCCCCTATTACACCTCCTTTGGGGAGCAGAGATTGATGTTCAAATCTGGGTCTTACAAGAAATTCGAAATTTTCTAATTTTCATTGTTATTTGACACGTTCGTCCGAGAAATAAGTGATAGAATTTTCCATTAAGGAACTAAAAGGATTCGTTCCAAAAGTGACGCGATAATGAAAATAAATTATCTACTACGACTAATATTAATTTATCTAATTTTCAACAGTCCCGAGATAAAACGTGTTGAATAAGTTTTGAAGTTTTTAATAACTCGTGACATTTCCAACAAGTAAATACACTATCAGATTCGTAAAGCTTTTGATTAGTATATGAAATCACGGTGTAGCTCGATTTTTTATTTTCCATTCAATTTACACGACTGACTCTCGCACACTCAAATATGACGTATCAATTTGCTCGGAATTTCGCACAATTCACGAATTACAGTAGTCCATAAAACTACTCTACTCATTCTTACTCTAATCATTCTTTGTTCGGAATTCAAAGAAAAGCGTCGGCGATTGAATGGAAATTCGAGGGACACACGGTAGAGCGGGATCGGCGACGAAACCCGCGAGCTCGAGAATTCGATGAATGTCGGTGAATTTCGATAGTTGGACCTGTTGCGTCGTCGAACGTGGACCGTTTGAAGACGGGAAACATTGATCGATCGACGAACAGGAGCAATGTTGACGGTGGTAAGGTACTCTCGTATGAGCAAGGACTCTGTCGAACACCTGGCATGGGCATTGAGAATTGTTATCAACTCGCTGTTATTTAATCGGTGCCATTAAAACGTCGAGGTCACTTGTGGTCCAGCGAACAGGACTGTGGAGACTGCAGTTTACGATAGTGCGATTGGAGACGACGCCATTTCGAGAGAATGATTCTTTATTTAACACCGTTCACGCCGGCGTGTACCACCGGTGGGTCACGTTCGCGTGTCTATCAGACGGCGTGTACCACCGGTGGCTCACGCTGCCACAGCGCCGCCCCACGGTGAGAAACAGAAATACTAGCGCCGCCGTGAACGTGTTAATCTAACGAATATAAAAATTGTTTTAAATTCTGTTGTATCTTCGTGAAATTATCACCAATAGATTGATCAAATTTTCTTGATGAAAAAGAGTCCAAACACGACATCATTCGGACCATTTATAAATGTATGCGTTTAATGCATGATGCCCGCTTTGTTGTTACTCGGTGAACTCAGGTCGAAGTAGGTCGTGTTTGGACTCATTTTCATTGGAAAAGGGTAACCAATCTAATGGTAATGTATTGAGAAGATGCACTAGAAAAATTGTCAAAATCAATTTTCTTGAAACCGAGCAGACAGATGAAAATATTTTATTAGTTCTTTCTTATTTATTTCCTTGAAAATATTCAGATGATTAGTAACAAAGGAAACTTTTAAAGATTACGATTTATTTCCATAGAATTTCATGTGTCAATACGAATTAGCAACATATTTGATTCCGGTGCATAAGATACAATACATGTTGCACAGTATAGTAGAACTCCAACATCGAACTACACTAATTAACATTTGTCTCACTGTACCACATACAATTAGTCACACTTTACAACTGTCCAGTTAACATCATACAAAGGCGCACGTCGTCGGGATGCAGTAGACCCTCGATAAATGCAAATAAACAGGAATGGACGTTCCTAGCAATTCGTAGATATCCAATCCAATACAGAATGCATATAGTATACAACTATCCCTTCCACTAAAGTGCAACAAACGAGGTCCTCGCGCAATTATCGAGATTCCACTGTCTTGGATAACTCCAGGTATTTTCAATCTTTCACAGACACTATCCAATCAAAAGTTCACATTCGATTAATAAAATTCATCTGCAACCACGTCCAGTAGCGAGATAAAAGCACAAAGAATTGCATATAGCTGTCTCTCGGTACCACGTGAACATTACCAATAGCACCACGTCCAAAAGCGAACCCCCCCTCCCCCCATGCGATTCGCACCACCGCAAAACCATAGTCTCCGCTCCAGTCTCGCTGTTACCGGAAGTGAGCCCGATATCTCCCCTCCAACGGCACCATTCACCGTGTTAATCATGCCCTGAAACCAATTGGCACTTTTAATTTCGGCAGGCGCGCTCATGAAAGACGCGGATAAGCTGAAGCTGATGCTGCTCGCGTGGAATTATAATCTTCAACAGCAAGCTCAGGCTCAGGCTCAGGCCCAGGCCCAGGTACAGGCACAGGCGGCCAACGCGGCCCTCTCGCCAAATAACTCCTCGACAACCACGGCCACCACCGTTGGCACAACTGTCACCAGTCAATCGGCTATTTCCACGGCAAACAACACCATTAACAACTCCACACTTACAGGTAACGCCTTATCTTCATCGATCGACGGACAATATCCGTGGGAACGTCGTTTTTTAATGCTTCCCGGATCGTGATTTTTAACCGCTCAGGGGGTTTGCTTTAACGATTGGTTGCACCGTTGACAGAGGATAACGACGTGGCTTTCGTTGCGGGGACTGTACGCAGGCGAGACTTTTGATACTTTTTAGCGGCACGATTTGAGGAATTTCGATTTTTTTGTCGTTGATTATTTTAGTATAAGTAACTGTCGTTAGACAGCAAATTCAGCAAAATTCATTCGGCGGTAATAGACACCTTTTGCAATTTTTTGTGCTTTTTTTTCCTTGTGTACATTCGTCGCTCGTAAAAGTTCGCCCGATTGGCTCGTGTTAGACTTGTTAAATTCTGTGTTAAAAATGGGAAACGACGGAAATGGGACGAGGGTTTTAGTCGTCAAGGCTCCGCTGACGAAAGAGCGAGCGGAGGCTGTAAGGGGGTCCCCCGTCGCGGCGGACGGGTAAACGCGGAGACTTCAATGCTCAACTTTCGCGTCCTTCTCGGACGACGAGTGAATTGGAGGCTTCGCGGGGCCAAGGTGTACCGGCTATTTAGCTCGCGCGAGTTTTGTCGTCGCACACGACGTGACTAATGGACTGTCGGCTCGTGATGTGACGTGTAGGAAATTCAGAGTACGCCTTCTTTGGCCCTCGAAACCGAGCCGGGACGAGCCGATTCGGTGACGCGTACTGCCGTGTTAATCGGCCGCGATTAACGTCGGCAATTAACGCCGCGGCATTATACCGTAGGTCGAGCATCGTTTTGCATTTGTTGCGACAGAATGCAGGAATGATTCTGATTTTTCACTGATTCTTTTTATAATTCCATTTTAAATCCATTTCTTCGATACTTTTTACTCTTCATTTTTCATTCGTTTAATTTGTCATTTGTTTCGTTTGACTATTTTGCAACGACCTTCGGCGCGTTTATAAGTTATATTTTTTAACGTGTTATTGTATGAATAGTACAGATCTGCCAATATTTGATGTGGTCCTAGTAAAGTACATGAATATATACAAGTATGCCGTAGCTATTATTATTATCCTTGAGTAGTACAAGCTCTGATATTGTTACTACATTTAATATTTCCGTAATCGAGGTACCTTATATTATACATTGAAACATAAAGATAAACTAAACGAAATTTCTTTCGAATTTGTCAAAAGAAGTAGGAACCATTAGAGAATCACAAACATACAGGTTCTTAATGCGAACAAGTGTCAGCCATCTTGGTATTTAGAATACAGTGGGGCCATCTACCGTCGAAATTAGGAACTACATCGTCCTCAAGCCCAGTATCAACTTTCTATTAATTTACAACAACCGTTCTACCTAATACTTTTACAAAATTTGAAATACTTTTCGGACACTTGTTTCAGTACACCCGCGATCCTATAAAAAACATTATGAAAATATCTTGAAAATATCCAAGTCTAAAGGTTAATCTTGCCGCGTGCCAGGACACACCCTTTTCGTTCTTCGCAGTTCCCGGTACCAAAAGTGGTCCAGTTAGGCAAAGTTGCGGAAGGATAATTCACCGTTGCCCTCTGCTTCCCCCTCCCCCCTCCTACCTCTCCCCGCGGCCTATCTTCCTCCGCGGCAGCTATTCGAAACTGGTTTCGAAGCGGGCCTCCGCATCTCGGACGTGATCATTGCGTAATGAACCAGCCGGCGTAGACGCGATGGTACGCGCGCAACCAGACCTGCGGATCGTCCAATCTCTCGCCCTCCCCTTACCCGCCCCTCCTACGCTTCGTCGTTTCCCCATTCCCCTCTCCTCCTCCCAGCCCGTGGCGCTGACGGCGATGACCAGCGAAGAGTTGGCGTCTCGCGCGGGACTCGTCGCTTGCACGTTACCCGACTAGCGTTTCGCAAATCGATTTCGCGATAAACGCGAGCTCGACGGTTTATGATCGCGGCAGAAAATTCACCGGGAAAATGACGGACCATATTTCTCGGTGGTTTACCGTTGCTTTGCTTCGTTACGTGTCTCGTCCTCCTCTTCGCGCTCCAAGTTCGGAACCCCGTTAATTGAAATGTTCGACGCTCGAGGGTTCGAGGGTTGCGAGTTTTTATTGTCTTTTTAGAATGTTATTAACGAGGGAAGAGAGGTATTGGTATTGGACATAATTTGATCTCGGTTCTGTGTATTTATCGATGTTTTAGAGCGTTCTTTGATTGAAAATGCTTAGAAATATCGGTTAGAAAATTGTACGAGTATGGGTGTGTCTATGGATGTTTGTTGGTTGAGGTTTCGTATCTTAGAAGGTTTATGAGAGAATAATATTTTTGACTTCCCAAGTTTAATTTCGGTTCGATTTTAAAATTCGACAAATTTTATTTAATGATAAGAGTTCTGCAACAACAATTCCATCCTTTTCCCTTCCGGTTGTTTTTGTCTGCGGTAAGGAAAGTGGCGGCAGATAGCGGGGAATCGTGATTCGTTGATAACGGTAGCGAACGATTGCTTCAATGGGTTGTAGAAGTTTCATTTAAATTTATTTTAATTTTTGGAGGAAGTTCAGGCTAACGTTTGTAATATTACATTAATATTAAATATGAGAATGGTATTTTAGACGCAGGGTTAATAATAGCACAACAAACTTTTGTTTACTGATATTTCACGTGAATAAGTTTTCAAGAATGCTACTTCTCTCTTCAATGGTAACCGAAGAAATAATTTCCACAACACGACGAATAAATCGTCGTTCTGTCATCGTGTGGTTATCTGGATTTTTAATCAGTTAATATGCTCCTTACCATGCTCAAGATGCGCCTTAACGGTAAAGAATCTTTCCTCGGTGATGTTTACCAAAGAGAACGCGTATTGCATGGTGGATGCTCCTCTCCTGCGATGGGCAATGCTGATTTTGCTTACAACAAAAGCAATTCCTTCGTACTTGTCTTCGTTTGTTTACGAAGGTTAGTTTCAACATAGTTTTAGAAATTACGAATATTTCTTCAATTTGTTGTCTCGTATTTCACGAAAGTTATCAAGAAAGTGTCTTTCAATTTTTCTTGTCAAAGCGCGACTTTTTATTTATCAATTTTGTTCTTTCGAAATTTTGGTGATTTAATATCCTTTCGATGAATTTGTTTTCTAAAGATATCATTTATCATTCTCGAATTTCTTCCTCTCAAAGTTTTGCGGCATTTATTAATGATCCATGCAAAATTAATCCACCTATGATGTCGGGTTCTCAAAAGAAGAAATTCAAATGAAGGACATTTCACTGACCATTAGGCGAGGGACCGTTTGCTTTTTCAGAAAGGTGAATTCTCACGGGAGATTCAAAACTGAGATACGGTTGCAAAATGAAACTTCATGCAGGTTTTCCCAGCGATCTTTTCAGCTTGATTCAGCCGGGGAATGGAAGGTCTTCATCGAGAAATCGATTTTGCGAAATGCTTTTAGCCGAAAAGACGCTGACCATGGGGGTTGGACAAAAATAATTTACTCGTGGCAAAAGATACCGCGTTATGTTATGTAAAATTCGCATAATCTTTGAAAGAAATTTCTGGCTGTGATGCATGATGATTTTTCACATTACTTATGAAGCCAGAATAGTTTTATAATCAAAAGAAGTGCACGAAAATTGAGAAATGTCGATAAAGAAACGAATGTTGAAAGCCACGTACAGATGAAAGGACCAAAGCAACCGAAGGCACATGTGCCAACGTTCGAGAAAATTCAAGCACATGTGTTGTCAGTTGCCTTTGGCTCTTTAGCTTTCATACACGCGACTAAACACCAACATAGCCTTAGATCGTCATCATGTTGTTACAAAGCTGCGTAGGGACCAATGAGTCAAAGCAATCGAAGGCACATGTGCTCGAATCTTGGCGCACATTGGCACATATACCTTCAGTACCCTCGGTTTATTGATCTGTACGTATGTTCAGTGAGACGGAGGTCTAACAGCATATCTGCGTATCCTTAGCATTTTGCAATTTAAAAAATTTATTTCGTAATCCGGGACCCTGTCGTTTTACAAAAATTTATTTCCCAATACCTTAAATGGACACTACACATTCCCAACCGAATCGCGAGGTCCTCCATTCGAGAAGACCATTTGCCAAATGAATTCCACGTTCTTCCTCCTTTCCACGACGAAGATTCTTCCAGGAGCGTCGACGATTTTTCATCGCGCTTACGAATATCGAAATTCCGAATCTCGTCGTTCGTATAATCAGCAGTCGACTTCGCGATAGGGAATCTCCGCTTTAATGACCAATGACATTTACGAAAGTAACGCGAAGAAACGTCTGCAGCGAGGCGAATCGTATCTCCGGCGATTTTCCCATATGTTGGTTTGTTTCGTCACGAATACTTTCGTTTTCTCGTCATGGACGTACGCGCGTATCGTGAGGTGATTTTCGGATAAGGAGAATCTTGATAAGTCCTCGCGACGGTGAATCATTTCGCATTTGCATGTCGGAGTATCATAAAAGCGTCGTACGCTTCAGACCCGGGACCAATTCATGGGATGACGAAATGTTCGTCGATAAGATCGACGAAGACCTCCTCAGGTACTGGCTTGATCAAAAATTAAATTCACGTTGAACCATGTATCATTAAGACATTAACGCTAGGTTTATGGAGCATCATGTACCCATTCCTATTTTCACAAGGTTTCAAAGAAATTGTTTATACTTTTTGACAACCAGTTATGCTGACTTTTACATTATAACACGACGAGGATATATACAAATTTAATTCTGTCTAACAAAGAGAAGCCGCGAACTTGGGGCTAATTAACTTTAGTAAATCTTATTAATGAATCTTTTGATTGCGAAATTCTAAAGGGTACGTCAAGGTCAGTCGAATTTTTAAAAAATGTCACCTTATAGAGAATGATAAGATGAAACTTTTGTTACATTTACAGTTTATTCATACGACGTTCAGTTTCAAAAAATTAAATGTAGTCAAAGTTTTCCCTTATCATTCTTTATAAGGTGATATT